TTTTTTCTCCAGTTAACTCAGACTTTTTTTTTCCAGAAAAATTAATATCATATTTTTTTTTTTTTGGAAAGTTTGATTACGTTATTATAATTGATACCTGAAAATTTCTCCCTTTTTTGAATATATATATATATATATATATATATAATTGAACAGGAAAAGAAATATTTCTCAAAACTGTTGTTCATTCAAAAATAAACAGACAATGACCACTTCTTTCTAATTTTTATTCCGTAGTCTTAGAATAAAAATAACGAAAGACAGCTAACAGAAGAATTTGTACATTCCATCCTCGAAAATAATTTTCATTATGAACATTCTGGTCTAGGGCAGCAATGAGGATAATGGCCCTCTCCTTTTACTATTCTGCATTTACTTCCTCTAACTGCGACTTTAACGCAACTGAAAAGAAAATTACAAAAAAAGGAAAAAACATAAANGGTGACAGAGCGAGACCCCGTTTCAGGAAAAAAAAAAAAAAAAAAAAAAAAAGAAAAGGTTAAAACATAAAAGATAGAATAAATATTTGTTACAATGAATGATCTAACAAGACTTATATATTTTTAATTTGAAATGAAACAACACGGAATACGATGTCGACGTGTGAATAATTGATATTTTAGTTATTGGTTTATTACTTTAGAAATGAGGTCACGTAACGGCTCTGGAGATTTTTGAAATTTTATTCTGGATCTCAACATTTTTTGGCACTTTTCCACATAAATTTCACGAATTACACGGATAATGTTGGGACTTTAAGGTCATCGGTAAAGAGGAGTATTTATAGCTATTTAGGTAATTTATTACCTTTAAATCAAATTTTTTAAATGAATTACAAATGTGTAAGCTCTGTCGTTTGATTATGTTGAAGATGAATTCCGTGTAATACATGGAATGAAATCCGAATAGATTCGCTATTTTTGTCGTAAATTGTAAGATTTCTCTTCTTCTGGGCAGCGCATTCGCAGTTATTTCCGTGATGGGTGCCCAAACAAGGCTGAACACAAATGTAAATTTTGGAGAAAATCAGAAAAAATAGGGTTACGCTTAAAAATGTAATGGATGATGAAAATATGTGAAAATGGTCAAATGTTTCTAAAAGCGCACATCAAATCAAAAATCTTAAAATAAACAAGGTAATTTTTTTAAAAGATGCATTTAATAGTATAAGACTCGACCCCACTAATCCCACCCTTGCAGTGACGCAAATTCAAAATTTTGAATACTAACCCCTATTTTTTATTGCAGATTAGTATTTAACAGAAAAAATACCTCAATTTGATTTTCAACATTTTGGTTGATTGGTTGATGCACTGTAATTACAGAATGGAGATTATATAAATGCAAGGTTACTAAAGTAACAATTAAAATTTGAAATAGAGATGTCTGGAGAAATACATGCCAAGACGCAGAAATAAAAATACACTTGTTTGATATTTTGAAACATCAATCAATTCCATCGGACAACAAACCTATATAACATTAAACTTGACTTCCCCTCCCAAACCTAGGGCATCTTATACCCAAGAGTCACCCCCTGCACAAGGGGTGAGATTGTGGGGTTTAAAAAGACATGAAACGTATATTTTCAGATTTTTTATCCGTTGCGTATTTGAGCATTTCCAAACATTTTCGACACCCATTTCAACCCCTTCCATACATTTTGGGCAAATTTTGAACCGATCTATGCTGGATGCTCAAAATGTATGGAATGGTGTTCATACATTTTGACCACTGTTCATTACATAGTCCAAAGAATTCATATGTTTTGGAAAATTAAGCAGTACTTCATACTATTTTGAATTGTTTGGTTGTATTGCGTGAAAGATGATCAAATTTGGAGAGTACCAATGTGATCATAATTATTTTTAACATTATTTTATGATTTACGAATTATAGATTTTAGTTTGTTTTTAAGTATTAGTCATTACTTGAGTCATCATGCAAAAGGAGAACATTTCGTTACCACATTGTTTGCAAATATCATACAAATGTAAAGCGCTTAGTACAAAAAACATTTCAAATATCGTTTTTAAAATCTTAAAATAAGTAAAATAAATATCTATAAAATAGAATGAAAAAATAAATAAAATAAAATAAAAATAAATGAACGAAAAATAAAATTAAAAATAAGACAAAATAAATAAATAAAAATAAACAAATAAAAAAAGGAAAATGTTTTGTCATTGATTGCTACAACACAAATATTTTTTTTTTAATGGCAGGCACCGAACTTTATTCTTCGCCTAAGAAGATGCCGGTATCGTTACTCATTTTACGTTACCCAGTGGGCACCCGTGAACCAAAGTCACTGAGGCACCACACTGCCACAAACCTGTTCATAGGGTGGGCCACATTCACACATCACACACAGCAGAGGACAACACAAGAGAGAAACATCCATGCCCAGAGCGGGATTCGAACCCGCAGCCATTGGCTTCGCAGTCAGGCGCGCTAACCGCTCGGCCACCTGGCCGGCAAAAGTGTCCGCCCTTGGAATTCGAACCCAGGACCCCTCAAGATCAAGATCATGATGCCTATTAGTTCATAATCTTGAGTCAGTCTCATCACCTTTTTGTTATCGCTGTTTTTTTTATCATACTTTGATGTATTGATACAACTATTGATACTACTTTTATTTGTATCATGTTAATTAGAGTTAAAAATTTAATACTCATATTAAAGTTAAATTAAATTTTAATGATTAAAAATTTCGTGAATACACATGATCTAATTATATAATAACAGTGGGGGAGAATCTAGAATCACTCACCAGGGCGTCATCTCTAAAACTTCTTCACCTCGCCACTCCCAGGCAACGCTTCAACTGATTCCTAAATGGATGCAACCCCTACAGCAAGAGGGAACTTCGCCAAACTAACCCTTTGGCTCACTTTATCGATGTTTTTGGCACACTTACTATTTTGGGATTCCTTGCTCTGCATAATCCCTGTTGCAGAGCAAAGAGTCCCAAAATAGTAAGTGTGCCAAAAGCATAGATAAAGTGAGCCAAAGGGTGAGTTTGGCGCACTTATTATTTTTGGACTCCTTGCTCTGCATCAGTATTTTTAAAAAAGACTTCGCGTGATTTGGTCCACTATATCTTGAGTTATCCGTAAAAATGTACTTTCCTCCATTGTACAACAAGATAAGTCGGATACTGATACCTTCAATGCTAAGAGCATAAGTTTAATCCAGTTGAGATCTAGAGTTAGTTTTTGGAACTATATTTAATGCGACTAGTTATTATTATTTTTGTAAGTACTTCTGATCATGTTATTGTTGTGTGCAGTCATACTGACCTATCTACTAGGAGACGACCAGGTCCACACCTGGCTACCCTACAAGAATTGTCATCATATTCTTCCCCATAGACAGGAATCTGACCAAATTCCTCTGTGTCACAATACCCTGTAAATAAAACAAAAATGCTCAGGCTAAAATAAATAAAAACAGCTTTGTGTCTAAAGTTTATTAGGCAACAACTAAATCTATTTGTTTCAAGAAACCATTCAGAGAGACTTAGTAAGAATTTAATTACTTTAGATTTTACATTTTTTGAAATTTGCTACAGAAAATATAACCTGCTCTTATACATTTACATAAAATACAGTAGAAATTTATGGAAATTATACAATAATATCATCAAAGGCAAATATTAATGGATAACAACCACTGATTTACATAGTAATGGCATTAAGGCCTTAAAGGATCAGCTCTAACTACTAATTGATCTGACAAAAAAGTATTTGCTTAGGTGATTTAAGTTCAAATTCCGAAGGTAACTTGTTAATTAGTATGATTATTGGGAGTTTTCAGAATAAACTCAGACTACCAAGACTACCCAGCGTGCTCAGTTTGTCTCAGAATAAAACAAACATATGCTAGCAATGAGAATAGTGCAAAATATCATTATGATGAAAAGGAAAATGTAAACCTTTTTCCAATCTATTTTTTTTAATATTTGAAAAGTTACACCAACATTGTATTAGCTAGATTCATAAAAATGTACAAAAATTAGGAATTATTTATTTATTTTAATGATTTTTTTCATTTAAGTGATAAAATTTTGCCAAATTAACTATTTGTAAAAAGTTTAATAGCTTTATAAATAGTTAAGCTTTTTATCCGTCTTTAAACCTTCATAATTCTTCTCAACATGATGGCAAATGTAATTTTAAAATATATCTTTTCCTCAAGCTTAAGGCATTTAAACAGAAAAAAGCATTTGTCTACATTCTTTGTTAATACATAGTTAATTTTCGAAAAACACTAACTTACATTGAAAAGCTAACAACCATCAATTTATGGTGTCAAATGGTGTCAATAGTGTGAATATCATAAGCCAGAAATATAAAAAGTAAATGAGCTATAAAGAGCACTCTCTGTTTTGTAAACATCATTCTTGCTGAACCGGATAGAAAATCAAACAAAAGTTTGAGTTCAATCGCCGTCAAAAAGTTTATGTAATGCAAATGTGGCTTAATTTCAACCAAAACAAAATAAATCCGATAAAATAGTTGATTCGTAAATTCTTGTCTTAATTCAGATGCAAACATAAACATAGTGCTTAGCGTTTTTAACACTAGAAAGACTGAAACTTAGTATATACCCATATTGCCCAAAAGCAGTCAAAATGTCTGGATTGTAAAATAATAAATAATATGTAAAGAAATTTGTTTAAAATTAATTTTTAATATTTTTTATATTGCTTACAGTTATATAACCAGTTATTAGTAAATATTAACAATAAAAAAATATATATGGTCTGCAAAATTCTAAAAAATTGTGTCATTATATACATCATTGTTTTTCTAATTGAAATTAAAAGCAGTCAAAATGACTTCTTTAGGCAATCTAGTGTTAAAAAGTGCTTAACGGAGCTTATTTTCGATTTTCGTTTTTTAAAAGCCCTTAAAGTGCTTTTTTTTATTGGGTGCTTTTAAAAAGTGCTTAATTTTCCCTTTTCGAAAAAATGAGATTTTCTTTTCTTTACCATGTCGATTTTCGCCACGTATTATGCAAAAGCGAGGTTTTCACATTGTTCTATTCATTTTTGGTTCTGGTAAGTAATCCTTTACTATAATATTAGCTTTGGAAGGAGAAGAACATAAAATATGATGCGTTAAAAGTTATTATTATTAAAATATTAATGATTATAAAATCTGACCATTTTCCGTGTCAAGTTCTTGAACGTAGGTTTCGTCATATGCATTCACCATGAGGAATAACATGTAGATGACAAGAAAAGTAAACCAGTATTTTTGTGCATCACCAATTTTCATATTTGCCACCATATGGATATTCAATCAAACAATATTTCTGAAAAATTAAAGACATATAAATATGTTACAGTTTTAATAAACAATTTATGTTAAAAAAGTTTGCGATAGCTACTATATATTTGTTTAGATGAGCAACAGAACAACACATTACTTCCAGTAAAGTGTTTCAACTCTTACAGATTCTGTAAGTTAACTTGGCTACATAGAAAATTTGTTAAATTTGCAGGGGAATAAAGCTGTCAGCTACCAGTATAAAATCGTTTATTTCACTGAAGAATACTGTTACTTAAAAACAAATGCCTGTTTAAACAGCTAAGTACTGTTATTTTGTTAAATAAACTGTATAAAATAAGTATGCCAGCATTATGGTCGGTGCTAACCGAGAGCAGAATTCGAATGACCAACAACACCGGGATTTGAACTTGGATATCTGTCCTCTGAGCCAAGGCAGCTATAGTACTAGGCCAGGGATGGCGAACCAATGGCACGCGTGCCATTTATGGCACCCGACGCAATATTTCGGGCACGCCACCGATCACATTTGTACACAAATAGTATTACACTATGAAGCATATGTAACAATTAAATTAAAATTCACAAAAAACACACAAAATAATAAACAATTGTTAATAAAAAATTAACAATTAATGCTAAAAAAACCCAATTAATAACCATAAAAAACAAGCTAACAATTAATAACTGGCAAAAAAATTAACAGTCCTGCTTAAACTAACATCTTACAACCTAATATAAGTTATTTGTCATCTAATCTGCAACAACCGAAGTCACACTGATGGTACTTTAAGTTTAATTACGCGTATAACTGAGACATTGCAAAATGTTTCTTTTTTTTCAATGTAAATAAAGAGTTTTGAGTTGATAGTATTTAGTATTATTATTTTCCCAATAATCACGAAGTCAAAACTATTTGACGGCTCGCCTATGACCTCATCAAACAATGTTTTAGAAAAAATGGCACGTTGGTGTATAAAGGTTCGCCACCCCTGTACTAGGCTATGAAGAAAAGTCTTAAATTGTCTTTATCTTAAAAGTCTTAGCGATTGAAATCATATTTAAGTGTAAAAACTATAATGTCCCATTCTAATAAAAATATCTGGCAATTCAACTTACCGCCAAAATTTGTGCCTGAAGACAGATAATAATCAGATAGACTATTATTTCAACAATGAAATCAAATAGTTATTTCATTTATATGACGCTGAAAACCATAAAATAATTGCTGAAAAGCAAGTATAGAAAATAATAGTAAAAGGATTTTTCTTTAAAAAAAAATTATCTTACCGTAAACAAAACTGCATGGTAAAAACTAGAATTTAAATTAAGAGTTTTAATCAGTTTATGATTAGGGAGAAAAACAGAGAAAAACTATTTTTTGAGAAAAACAGCTTTAAACCATCAAATATACGTAGAAAGTTTGTAAAAAAACAAGAATTTTTCACCGCGTGCGAGTAATCATTAAAAACGGAATAAATTCGTAATTATTTTAAATCGCTTTTTTTTTTTTTTTTTGTAGAATTTACAGTTATTTTTTACAGTGTATGGACGTAGTAAAGTGTCCTAAATTAAACAAATCTTAAAAATATAATAATAATAATACTAATAGTTAAGTAATAAATTAATTTCGGTAATAAAAAAAGAAATAATAAATATTTTTCTTCTTCATTTAAATAAATAAATAAGAATAGTTGTTCCATCAAATTCTTATGACAAGGCATAACGTTTTTGCTGTTTCTCGTTTTTGTTCGAAAAGCTTTTGACAGATGGCGATAATAGTCCTTCTGTTCTTTCCGTTGTGTGTGTCGATTTCGTTCTTTGATTACAAGTGATTGTTAGCTGATGATTCGAAAAGATTGTAGTTTAATTTTTATTCATTAAAATATTTTGATGAATTGTAATGTGATTTTCAATTGTAATTTTTTCATTTTTGTTTTTATTTTACTTCATTTAATTTTTATTTTATTTTTTAATAAAAAGTTCTTCGGTGCCATCAGTTGGAAAACTTATGAATTAAAACCAGGAACTCGGGGAGAAAAAAATTTATGCATAGTCTAATTTATTTCAAAATTTTTTGTTTTAATCTTGACCCTTTTCCAATTAAAAACTTTTAAAAGCCATTGGTTTATATTTTTTAAAAAATGTATATTTTGCCCTCATATAAGCGAAGAAAAAAAAATCATTTTATAGCTTTAAGTTAGTTTATATGCGTAAAACTTATACCAGGTCTCAAAAATTACCTATGAAATGCGAACTAAAAATGAAAAGGAAATGCTTAGTATCTGTGAATTAAGTTTAAAAAATTTATTATTGCACACAAAAAAATTTCCCCTCGAAATTTTTATCGTTGTGTATGCGTGTAGGGAGAGGGGGGTTCTGGTACTCACAGTTTGTTAAACAATTAGAACAATTTTATGAACAATAACATGTTAATTATTATGGGATTTAGTAAATGAGTTTTAAAATGTTATGATTTGTTGTTTTTTTAAATTGCTGCTGTTTTTATTAATAATTTATAAAGCAATTGATTGATTTGTAATAAATTTGTTGTTGGTATTCAAAATAATTTATAATAAATTGTAATCAAAGCATCTTTCCTTTTTTTATTTTCAAAACATCTCCAATTTTTTTATAAAATGGTATTACCTTAACCCATTAGCACCTAGCGTAGTACAGTTGTAGGAGCAGACCTATTAAATATTACAACTACTATAAGTTAATATTTTTATTGCATTTTAGTCCGCGCCAAGGAAAACATAGTTGTTGCGGAAATTTATATCATAGCTCAATATTTTAACTCTCGCTTTTAAGAAACATAATATATTAAATTAAACTTTTTCAGAATGATGTGAAGTTTTCTTTGATTAACTACTTTTACTTACTGCAGTTATTTATGTAATTACATTTTTTGAAGAAAGAAAAAAAAACTATTCTGAAGTTAGGATAATCTATCTAAAATTATTGCACGCTTACTGTTAAAATTCCAACATCACGACCATAGACTAATTTTATTTGACTTCTTAAAGGTTCTAATGAACAAAATCTCCGATAAAAAAAAATTAAAAAAAGAAATAAAATAAAAACTAGGGCTGGATTTGAAGGAAAGTGCAGAAGATAAAAAAAAATGTAGCGATTACTATTTTAATTATAAAGAGAAAATTCGGATGGTTTGAGAATGATTATTCTGAATTTTACGCTTTGATTTTCAGAATGTAGCTGAATTCAGCTAGGTTATATTGTTTATTTTTTCTAAATAGATTTCGATAAACTTTGAAATTTATTCTAACAAGATGATTTTATAAATAAATTGTTTAATTTTTGAAACATAAATTTTGCTGAATGCTAGAATTATTTGTAACTATCACGAACCATTTTAATGAACTTGAATTTAATTTCATTAGAAGTGCATGTTATCTGATAAATAATATCCTTTGATGTGTAAAATTTTTGGCGTAATTTTAACTTAATTAGTCTTTAAAGGTTATTAAGAGCTGGAAACCAAACCCTGGGGGTCGACTTTCTAGGCGTCTTACAACCTAGGAAGAGTCCGAATCCAAGGCATCTGGTGAATATCTTTAGTGACAACCACTTGGAAGCGAAAAACACACCGACGAATAAACAATAATAATTTTTACAATTTGGCCTCTTGGCGGCAAGAATAAAGTGTCGCTCACATGCAGAGAAATATCAATGTGCTCTTCTCTCTCTGCTTGTATTAAAAAAAAAAAAAAAAAAAAAAAAAAAAAAAAAAAAAAAAAAAAAAAAAAAATTNAAAAAAAAAAACGAAATGGAAAACAGATTTTTTTTTTCTTTGCATATAAACGAATAAAAACTTTTGAGTGACAACCTTTTAAGATACATAAACAATGCAAATTAAAGTTGAGAGAGACTAAGTAAGTTGTTAAGTAAGAAAAAAAAAGAAGTTCGGTTTTCCCAATTTTTTTTTCTTGGCAATCCAACATTTCATTAAACATTTCATTTGTGTAGCTAACAAAAATATTTATAGAATAAAAAGTAAGAAATAAATAAAAATAAAAATAAAAAGCAATATTTTTAAAAACTACGTTTTTGTAGTAGACAATACATGACAGTATATATACACATTTTCTTACTCATACACATGCACAACCACATACACATCCACATTCAGATACAATTACAGAGATACATGCACATATACTCATGAGCACACATACTGTTACAGTTATGTATTTCATGCACCCCACGTTTTTCGTTTTTCAAATTTTTGTTTTTTAATTATTATTTTCCACTACAAAAACGTGGTTTTAAGAAATATTATTTTTATTTTTATTTATTTTTTTGTACTCACTTCCAAAATCTCAATTTTTTCACTCACTGTGCAAAAAACTTTTCAACTGACATGCGACACTAATTTGAAATAAACGAATCGACAACAAAAGACAATCACGGAAATATAAATTTTTCTTTAATTTTAATTTTATTTTACTTTGTACGTCTTCTTTCTCTTCACTTTCATGCATTGTCATCCAATTCTGAACTATGTTCCAAATTTGAAGTCTGTAGCTGGTCGGGAAGTTAGTTTAAAATCGATTACAAAATTCCATCCGAACAAACACACACGAAGGCAAGTTGATATAAACGTGTTAAAAAAAAGAAAAACCTTCGACGTATTTTTTCTTATGAACGTAAACCAAACGGACAAATAGAAGGGGATTGAATTTCTAAGTGATGTTTTTGAAAAAAAATTGAGATTTCTATGAAAAGATTCATATAACTATAAATATAATAAGCTATTTATTGCTTTTAAAAAGCTATTTATTTGCTTTAAATCTGCAAACTAGGTTATTTGAATTGAATCTCTTACTTTACTTCAAAGCTTACAGTATAGGTAGGAATTCCGACCTACAGGTATAAAGAAAATTACACTCTTGTATAGACAATCGTTTTGTAAATACATATACATAAATAGAAAAAAAACATAAAATAATGTTTTGTAAGTAAGAAACATATACTAATCGCAATACAATATTATAGAACTAAGTCTTGTCCGTAAACTCTTCAATTAAAACGTAGTTTAATAAATCAGAACAAGCTGTTTCAAAACTTTTGCGAGGAAGAAAAAAAGAAGCTTTTTTAGTCATTTTAATCTTTGTCAATTTTTTAGATCTATTTATTGTTATTAGCTCAAACTTGATTCATATCTCTTAAAAAATTTGTGTTTATGTTATTTTTATCAAGAACTTTGAATTTCGATTGGTTTGAAATGCATCAATAATTATTTTATTATTTTTTTTATTTCTTTAGGAAAAGCAACTGTGTGTTGATTTATTTCACAGTACAGTTATGTTTTTTCAAAATAAAATAAATAAATGACAAAAATAATAATTCAAAATATTTGCAAATGTATTGTATATCTGTATATATTTTAAACAACAAGTTCAGTAAAGTTTTACTAAAAACTTTTATATTGTTTTTTTAAAACTATATTTTAGAAAAGCAAACACATTTTTAATAAAATTAAAGTAGAAAAGATATTTTGAAGCAGATTTCTGCAAGGGACAGTAGGACTCAAATTCTCTGTTCCTGATTTTTGAAAAAGTGAAAAAATTAATTGATAACTTTTTAAGGATTAAATCAATAGCACACTCTGTTTTATCCATGTATGTTTAGCATAATAACTAATTTAGAATTTAATTCTGGTGCAAAACAAGTAGTGTAGGAAATGCTATATCCAGGGAAAAAATTTCCTGAATATGCTTTTGGTCAATCATACAAAATATAAAAGAATCAAAATGTGACTACGATTTTCTTACTTGCAACGTGAAGATGGAATTTATCTGTAAGCTGCTGTTTCCTGATGGCTGGTTTAACGTCCTGTTAATAAGGAAGCCGCTGAACAACTAAATACATTTAGAAAACTATATTCTGACCACAGAAATCGGTTGTAGCAATGTCTCGTTTCATTTTGCAATTTATTATTATTTTTTTTTAATTTACACAAATAAACGAATGATTATTATTAACTTTTTTTTGACGTTATCGTTACAATTCATTGAAAAATAGGTTTTCTACGTGTTCAGAATTTAAAAGAACCGCATGATTGAAGAGAACTGGTTTTTTGAAAGTGTCATGGGCGTTGAAGGCATAAAAAAAAATTTCGGGGGGGGGGGATTGGAACGATATAAACTAGACTGAATTTTAAAAATAAAAAAAATATGCACTTTATTTTATCGATAAAATTTTTTCTTAAAAAAAACTTTTTCACCTGTAAAGTTTTCTGTTTTATTTCTGAGCTTGTTTTAAACTTGCCTGCGTTAAAATCGAGATTTTCATGTTCGTAACATGTAAGTTAGAATTAATTATTTTAATAAAGCAATTAAAAAATATCCCAAAATTAGTATTGATCATGCTGTGGATATTTTAAAAAATAAAGACAAAACCATTACTGAAAGCAAAAAAAAAAAAAAAAAAAAAAAAAAAAAAAAAAAAAAAAAAAAAAAAAATTAATAAATGAAAGAAAATTAAAAAAATTAAATTAAATTAATAAACTGATATTTTAAAAACTAGTTTTCAGAAATTTTTGCGTTTGTTTGAAACATTAGGGAGGGCTTAAATAGGATTCCAGTTACTGAGGGTGGGGATCTCTAATTACTGGCCACGTGCCACCAACATTATCCATAAAAAGTTGTTAACAATCTTGAACTTTCCAGCTCAGTATTTCATATTCCTCATCAATTTAAACCATATAATAGCACCTGTAAATGCATGACATGTTTCATGAGTCCCAAATATACGAAGGCCAATGCTAGATTGGAGTACTAGATTAGCGGGCTAGAGATTGGAATTGAAATTAAAATTATAAAAGAACAAAACAGTCATTAACCTCATAAAAACTGCAAAAACTACACAAACCTGGAAAATAAAATAGTATATGGCAACTTTAAATATCACAAAAAAATTTAGTCGCATCAGCTCTCTAGCCCGCCAATATCGATTGTATGCGCTTTTTTTTTCCAATGAAGGAAATTTTAGTAAATGTAAAATTATAGTAAATGTTTATTCTACACATCATAAAATTCTAGTTCCATAAAAGGTAACCTTTAGATGCAGAGTTATTAAACATATCTTTCATACCTTTTTCATCTATTTTGCATTAATTTAAGCGGAAATAGTAAAAACATTATATCTGGCATTTTAATACCAAACAAACGGTTCGATTTTTTGTTGCACATTCGGCGATAAACAAAAATGTTAATCAAACTTACAGGTAAGAGGAGGAGAAATTCTACTTTTATATTGATCTGTTAACTTGGTTAAATATTCCTCACAAGGATGTATTATAGATCGATTTATAAGCTTTTGAATTCATTAATGAGAAGGAAACAAAAACAAACTACTTGGAGTTATCTTAAAAATAATAATAACAGACTGAATGTTTTCGATAGCAGCGTTAGACATAAACAGATTTTTGTGAATGTTCGATTTTGCAATCTGATTTTTCAGTATATTGTGACTTCACCAGATGTGTTTCTCAACAGCTTTTATTTTGCTTGTCGCTTGTCAAATATTCATTCAATGATGCATCGTCGATATGTAATTTCATTCGTCTTTTTCTATTCGTTTATAAACCATATGTTCATTGTAATTAAAAAATAAAAAAAGAGATTTTCGTGTAAGTTAATAGAAAATTCTATCTTTTCGAAGCCGATGAATTTCGTTAGACAGTAAGGAGGAAATGCAAAAATTTTAAGAAAAGAGTAAAAATGTGCAAAACTGGAAAAAAAATTAGGATCATTTTAATATATTTTTAAAATTTTTTTTTATCCAAAACCATAATGTCTTTTATCATTTTTAATTAAAATCTAGAAATAAATAGAAATAATTAGCCTTAATATTTATTTTTAGACAAAAATGGTATAAATATTTGTTTTCACAAATCCATATTTGAGCAAGGAACTAGTGAAACTGCTTTTTAAATATGCAAAATCACTATTGAGGAAAGTGGTTGTACGAAACATCAAAATCTACTTTACTGCCGGTTTAAATGTTAGGGTATTTCTGATAATTATCTTTCAACTTCTCTCTGTTTCTTCCAGCAATCAAACGCTTCGATGTTTTTAATTGCGCCTTCCTGAGAAGTGGTTTCGTCAGATTGATTTGCAACCCATTTTTTCATTTTTAAAATAATTCTGAAAGGAAATATTAATTGATTTCGTTGCATTATTTACGATAAATTATTATTAAGAAATATATTAAGGGATAATATTAAGAGATAATATTAAGAGAGAGAAATCCAAGGAGAGTATGAAATTAATTTAAACAAATTTTAAGATAAAAACTTTAAAATAAAAACTTTAAAATAATAAGTCAGAGTGGAAAAGCACTAAAAGCAACTAAAACCAAATTAGTCTTATGTAAACAATTTAAATAAAAAGGTGAGAAACCAAAAGCAAGCAAAGCGATATTCTAAAGATATATTTTTTTTCCAATGCCCACCTGTGTTAACATTTTTTGTTAATTCAGGCATTTACAGGGCGGATTTGTTGGCCTCTCTTTCAGAGGCACCATATAAGGTGCGCCAACGTTGCTCCCACAGAAAAGACAGATAGTACAGAGAAGTAAAGAACATCCATGCCTTGCCCGGGATTCGAACCCAGAACCTTTCTGATACATGGGCAGTTCCCTGACCCCTACACAGGCCGGTAGGCAATTCTAAAGATATGCATGTTAGCAAAAATAGCACTTCATCAGGGGACAAACTGTCTGATAACGCTTTGGAGCCTTTCAGTAGTCAGTGATTAAACCGTGTTTTTCTGTAGTTAGTGTTATGCCTTTCAATTTGTTATGTCTTGTAATTTAAAAGATCTGAAGCCATTCTTCATGCTGAACACACTAACTTCTGATTGTAATACTCAATTAATAATTAAAGAGATTTACGGCGTTTTTCAAAAGAACATGCTATGCTGTAATTGCCATTTTAGTATTCATATTGGACCAGATATTATATTACCGGCGACTAGTGTACCCAACCAGAGGAAATAATTATAGTGAGAATAATCATATATGAGATATTAATAATTATATATTAGAAAGTTTGGTAGAATAAAAGAGAAATCTAAAGCGACGTCGAAGGTCACGTGTTCTTGCTCTGAGGAACCTTTAGTAGCTGGGTCTCATCACCTTAAAGATTAGGGTGACACAGTTGAACTATTCTTATTTATTACGTATGTAAAATTTGTAAAGTTGTGATCGAATTGACGATATTGAAGTTTGAGACGTGGTGGGGATTAGGCGGTCACCTTCCAATGAGGTGAACCGTGTTCGAATTAGCGATGGATGGTCAATACGAATTCTGCAACTGACCAAAGTGATGACGTAAAATATCCTCAGTTGTTGACGGATCATAAGATAGAGTCTCTTAGCCGCCAGGTTTCGTGGTGAACCGTTGGAGGTTCTCCTCTCTATGTAACGCAAATGCGAGTTAGTTTCACCAAAAATTCCTTCACAAAGGCAAATTTCTCCCAATACTTCGTCCAAGAATTTCCTTGTCTTCTGGATTGGGTTCAAAATTACAAGGCTACAGAGTTGAGCATTAGTAGTCGTAAACCCAAAATTGTGTCTGCCGTTCAGCCACGGTTATAAAATAAAATTAGATCAAAGGGCAGTGGTGGATCAAATATTGTATTTTCGTGACTGTACTTCAAAAGTCATTGGAGTTCAGCTTTAAGAGCAAATAACAGGAAGCTCGAAATCTATTACGGGCTTCAGTGGCTGTAATCTAAGTTCCGCAGTTCCCAAAGAACACCGAAACCAAGCATCACTGGCTGCAGTCAGTACGTGGGTGAGTGATCACTGTGATCCGCCTGCTTAGGGATCGAGATATGTGGTATCGGTCCTCGTTAAGATGTTATACCATAAAATGCTCGACTTTACTCTCAGATCATCGAGCTACCCAAAGTGCCTGCAGAATGTCTTAGCCTCTGCAGAGGATCAAAATCGTGACGGCATGCTTTCGGATCATTCTCAAGAATGCCTCACAGACCGTCGTTAATATCTCATTCCGCTACTCTAGTGCGACGTTTAATAAAGTACTACTACCACTATAATTTGCAAATTTCGCTGAAATAATTTCCAGGTAGGAATGTATTTTATTTACGTCGCACTAGAGCTGTATAATGGTCTACTGGCAACAGGTCGATCCGAAGACATGCCGTCGCAATTTTGATCTTTTGCAGGGGGGATTGCTCCCCTGCTTTGGTACCCCGAATATCTGAGCGCAAAGTCGAGCACTTTATGGTAGAAAAGTTTAACGAGGACCAATACCTCACACCCTCGGATCCTTCTCTCTTATCCAAGTGGTCACCCACCAGCGCACTGACCGCAGCCAGTGATGCTTGATCTCGGTGATCTGCAGGGATCTGTGTCTTAACGATTAGCTCACTGCGGGGCCTCTCTAATGATAGATGTCATGAGAGTTGTGAGTTCAATTTTTTTTAAAATTCGTATTCATGTTTTTATTTTTTCCTTTTTGCCTACCTGTCAGTAAAAGAAATCGAAATATCGTATTAACTTTGCGATACTGTTTAGCTCAATTTTAACTTTGATTCCATGGTTATTATAAGTTGAATACAGTATTTTTCTCTTGATTAGTTAGCAAAGAGCTTGATTCGCACAAATACGATTGACATAACGAGGACCGATACCGTGCATCCTAGGTCCCTACGCAGGCTGATCAAAGTGGTCACCCACCCGCTTACTGACCGCAGCCAGTGATGTTTGACTTCGGTGTTCTACTGGGAACCGTGTCTTTACGATCAGTCCACTACGGGACTGAAATACCTTTCTGGAAAATGCGTTGCAAAGTTTTCGTTAACCATGAAAATAACGTGAATAATTGAATAGCGTGACGTAAGTAATGAAGATATAAATGAGTAAAAAATCGAATGTAGTCTTGATCTTTTCGTCAACTCTACTCCATTTTGAGCTCGTACGTTTGTTGTGGTTCAATCATTTGTCAGACTATCAATTTTATTTTAACCTTTGAAATGTCGGTAATGGAGAATAACGTCAATTGTGATAACGAACAGGAAAGCTTGCAGCACTCCGTGATTGAGAAAGACGTGAATATCCACAGTGGACGGGAAGTATCCCAAAAATCATCACTGGATAAAAAAGTTGACCATGGAAAGGATATAACTCGGATGACCGGTGCAGATTTAAGGGTTTGTGTTACTATTCACTTTATCAATATCTGATTATCTTTTGCACTTAGAAAGATTTAAGTAATGAAGTGATTATTTTCCTTTTGTCTTGGTTGAATTTAATTTTTGTATTGTGGGCAAAATTGAATGTTTGTCAATTGGAAGAAATCTTCTAGCACTCTTTATATCCAAGAACAAAGCTAATTGCTCACTTCTTCAATTTTCACTGAAGCATTGCCCTCGCGTTAAAAATTTATAGATTTCCTAATTTTATTAATACTGGGGTACTGAAATTATAAAAATCTATTCTTGTTTAACAATTTAATTATTAAGGTATATTGAACTTAAGATTTCTTAAATGGATAAAAAAATTAACAAATTTAGGTTTTGGTAATCATAAGTTTTAAATAGAGAAACATTACTTTCCAGGATGGCCACAACCGGGAAAAATTTTAAGTGGTCAAGAAAAGTTGTAAAATTTTTTTTCCTCAAAATTCATATCTGCTAAAATATGTAAATTAAGCAATTAATTTGCCATTGAAGTCTGGACCTATACCAGTCTTAAAAATCCTGCTTTAGTTTTGCAGCTTTTATCAGATTCAAAACAAAATAGTTTTCATACCTATTAGAATATTTTCAGTTCATTGAATTGTTTATGTACAAAATTTAGATATGTATGCAATTTTAAATTTAATTTTTAAGATACTAACTATATATAAATTACTTCACCATATATTCTTCTAAATCTGCAGTAATTTGAATGTACTTATATAAATGTCTTATGTACATTTTTATCAGTTTGTTTGAATCTGACGCTTTTGATGCATTAAAAATGTCTCTAGTTGGGACGTGAGCTGCCTAGTTAAGAGATGTAACTCTGTATTATGATTCAGATTTCAATATATTGGACAACTATTGTTAATGCATTTTACTTTTAAAGCCAAGGATTTATAAGTAAATATCAAATTTTCAGCCATTATTTAGAGCTGTAGTCTGAGGAGGTAGAAGAATTTAAATTTTTGGTATTTATGTAGGATAATAATCTTAGCATCTAAAGTAAAAAATCATGCATCAATAAAGAATCTTGTTTACACATTTCCAGTAAATATTTTTTACCTTTAAATTGTTTATCTACTTAATTATTTACTATTTATCTTTCTTTTATATCCTAATTTGTTGGACTCTTAGTGAACTTCTATGAAAGTGGTAGCTTTATATTTGTCCGACGTCAAAATTTAATGGTATTTTAGATAACAATCACTAACTGTTTTAATGTAGTAAATGTTTGAATGTAGTAATGTAGCATACGTTTAAAACATTGAGAGGTTTAGAATTAATCTTATTTAGTTGTACCGCTTTAGGACACTATTATTTATGAAATAACGGCAAAAATAGACGTATTAGCACAATTTAAAATATAAGTTTTCATTTGTTGAAGAATTAAAAATATCGAATATTACTTTAATTTTATTTAAATGCTTACCACAAAGGATGCTCTCTTTAGAATATTTCACTTTAGCTTTATCATAGTCATAATAAGCTAAGGTAAATATTAAACTGCGTTGTTTTTTTAAGATGGTGTTTAATTTAAATTTAATGAAAGTGAATATCCAAACAGCAAATATAGTTACACAATATAATTCTATAGTTTGAAGTCAAAGTGCAACAACTTAAAGTAAATTTTAAAAAAAAAATAATCCGAAAAGCACATTTAGCGCACACTAAAATAAGACTCACTAATCTAAAAATCTAATCTCTGCCTTAGACACACCACAGTAATCTTTTGTTCCTTATTTTATAACCATCGTTGAACAGCCGACCCAATTTTCGGGATTACGACTTATGTTCTACTCCGTAACCTTGTAATTTTGAACCAAATTCAGAAGACAAAGGAATTCCTAGATCAAGTATTAGGAGAAATTTTCCTTAGTCGAGGGCTTTTTTGATGGAATTAACACGCATTTGCGTTACATGGTGAGGAAAACTACTAAAATCTCCCACGGTTAGACTGATGCCAAGGGGACTCTTACACATGATCCGTCTACCACTGAGGATATTTCTACGTCAGAACTGAGGTTGGTGCGAGCCGGGAGCGGAATTAGTTTCGACCAGCCATCGCAGGGATTGGAACCCGGTTTGCCTCATTCAATGGCGAACGCTCTATCCCCTGACCCATCATGGCTCTTTGTTCTTAATTGTTTTTTTTTTGGGTAGGTTAGGCATATAATAGTTTGGTTTTTGTTCCATATATTACGTAACATACCTGCACTGGTTTCTTGTGCCATTTAACTGCAAAAAGATAGTTTAATAAAAGATGATGGTCGATTTGCTGCAAGCAGCACGTAATGCAGAGATGAGCCATACCGTATTTCTTGAACTTGGTTGCACCTAACTTGAAAGCAATTTATGAATCCATTTTGAAACTTCACTGTAAAAAAAGATTCAATTTACTACCATATTAAGGTTGTATCAAATTTGCACCGTATTGTGGTATAAGATACAGAGATTATGGTTCCACGTAGAACACTTTTTTAAAAGTTTTTTAAATTTTTATTGTGGGCATTTTCGAAATTTAACACCAGATTAAAAATTAAAATTGTAGATTATGTTCTGGGATTTTTCCTTTTAGTTTGTTCATAAAGTTTCAACCATTGTGCAAAATAGCATTCATTTTTCATTATTTTTACAGTCTCATTTTGTTTCTTCTGGACTGGAGNAAAATTGGGTCGGTTGTTCAGCTACGGTTATAAAATAAAATAAGATATTGGGGTTCAAAGGGCAGTGATGGATCAAGTATCGTAGGTTCGTGTCTGTAGTCCAAAAGTCATTGGAGAAACGTTGAGCTTTAGGAGCAAATAACAGGTCACGTTCAGTCAATGACAGACAGAGCGAATTACAGACAACTTCTTTCCGAATTTTCGAAATTCCTAGACGAACTGTCTATTAAAACCTTATGATTTCAAAAAATTTATAACACAAAGCACAAAAGGATTCTGAAATAGAAGATCAACAAGAACTAAACCTGCTTTCTCGACGCTTCAGGGCATTCGACAAAAGGTCCAGATTTAGCAACTCTCATGTAGAATCTCCAACATTCCCATATGTATATTTTGCACAAACTTTGAAGAAAACGGATTTTACTCTGTGACAAACTACTTTGCCCAACAGCATATAAACGCACAGAAAAGCTCTAAATCTTTTACGGGCTTCAGTGGCTGTTATTTGAGTTCCGCAGTTCCCAAAGAACACCAAAACCAAGCATCACTGGCTGCAGTCAGTACGTGGGTGAGTGACCACTATGATCAGCCTGCTTAGGGATCGAGATATGTGGTATCGGTCCTCGTTAAATTGTTATGCCATAAAATGCTCGACTTTACTATCAGATCATCGAGCTACCAAAGTGGGGGAGTCTTAGCCTCTGCAGAGGATCAAAATCGTGACGGCATGCATTCGGATCATTCTCAGGAATGCCTCACAGACCGTCGTCAATATCTCATTCTGCTGCTCTAGTGCGACGTTTAATAAAGTACTACTACCACTATAATTTGCAAATCTCGCTGAAATAATTTCCATGTAGGTAGGTATTTTATTTACGTCGCACTAGAGCTGCACAATGGTCTATTGGTGATGGTCTGGGAAACATCCCTGAGGATGATCCGAAGACATGCCATCGCAATTTTGATCCTCTGCAGGGGGGATGGCCCCCCTGTTTTGGTAGCCCGATTATCTGAGCTCAAAGTCGAGCACTTTACGGTAGAATAGTTTAACGAGGACCAATACCTCACACCCTCGGATCCTTCTCTCTTATCCAAGTGGTCACCCACCAGCACAATGACAGCAGCCAGTGAGCTTGACTTCGGTGATCTGCTGGGAACCGTGTCTTTGCGATCAGTTCACTGCGGGAATGAAATACTTTCCATGAAAATGCGTTGCAAAGTTTTCGTTAACCATGAAAATAACGTGAATAATTGAATAGCGTGACGTAAGCATTGAAGATATAAATAAATAAAAATCGAATGCAGTCTTGGTCCTCTCGTCAACCCTACCCCATTTTGAGCTCTTACATTTGTTGTGGTTCACTCATTTGTCTGACTATTAATTTTACTTTAACCCTTAAAATCTCAGTAATGGAGAATAACGTAAACTGTGATAATGAACAGGAAAGCTTGCAGCATTCCGTGATGGAGAAGAACATGAATATCCACAGTGGCCGGATAATGTCTCCAAAATCTTCACTGGATAAAAATGTTGACCATGGAAAGGACATTACTCAGATGACCGGCGCAGATTTAAGGGTTTGTGTTATTATTCACTTTATCAATATCTGATTATCTTTTGCACTCAGAAAGATTTAAGTAATGAAGTAAATATTTTCCTTTTGTCTTGTTGAACTTAATTTTTGTATTGCGGGCAAAATTGAATGTTTGTCAATTGGAAGAAATCTTCAGACTTCCAAAATCTTAAATCTTCTTATATCCAAAGATTGAAGAACAAAGCAAAATGCTCTGATAAATTTTCAGTAAAACAGATGATAGTTATTTGATGATTTTATTTGAAATTTATATCCTAATTTTAAGTAATTTGAAACACTATGTTTGGAAATTAAGTAAAACTTCCTAACTTTCATTACTGGGGTATTGAAATTATAAAAATATATTCTCGAATGACACTTTAATTATTAAGACGCATTTTAGTTCTTAATATTTCTTAAATAAATTAAAAAAAACATTAGCAAATTTAGGTTTTGCTAATCATAAGTTTTAAATACAGAAACATTGATCAGGTGTGTTAAGTTGTGAATATTAAGTCTGTTTCCAGGGTGGTCACAAACGGGAAAAATTTTAAGAAGTCAAGAAATATTGTAGAAACATAGTTTCTCCTAATTCATATTTGTCAAAATATGTAAATTAAACTATTAATTTGCTCTAGTCTAGACTAATTCTGTTTTAGTTTTCCAGTTTTTATTTTATCAGATATATTCATTGCAAACTAGTTTTTATATTTATTAGCATGTTTTTTTTCTTTAGTTCACTGGATCATTGGCTATGTTCAAATTTAGATATGTATATAATTTTTCAATTTAATTTTAAAGATCCTAACTATGCATGAATTATTTCTCCATGTATTTTTCATAAAATATTACCAAAATTTTGAAGTAATTTTAACATTTTTCTAGGCAGTAATTAAAATATGCTTATTTGTAATTAAAATATGTTATAGCGTTCTACATACATTTTGTCAGATTTTTATTAAATCTGACAATTTTGATGCCTTAAAATGAATGCGATGTGAGCTGCTTAATTAGGGGATGTAATTAGGGGGGTATTATGATCTAGAGTCCGATATATTTGATAACTTTTGATAATGCATTATGAATTTTACTTTCAAAGCTAAGTAGTTATGAGCAAATATCAAATTTTCTGCCATTATTTATAGCTCTAGTTTGGGAAGGTAAAAATCAGAATTTAAATTTTTGGTATTTATATAAACTAATTATCTTAGCATCTAAAATAAGAATAAAAATCATGCATCAATAAAGAATCTTTTAAGCGCATTTTCAGTAAACATTTTTACTTGTAAACGGCTTATCTTAATTATTTACTATCTGTCCTTACGTTGTATCCTAATTTGTTGCACTCTTAGTAAACTTTTATCAAAGTGGTAGTTATATTTTTGCAAGACTTAAAAATTTAATGGTATTTTAGATAACAATCACAAACTGTTTGAATATAGTAATGTAGCATATTTTAAAACATTAAGAGGTTTAGAATTAATCTTATTTAGTTGTACCGTTTTAGGACACTATTATTTGTGATATAACGGCAAAAATAGACGTATTAGCACAATTTAAAATGAGTTTTTTCATTTGTTGAAGAATTAAAAATATCGAATATTACTTTAATTTTATTTAAATGCTTACCACAAAAGATGCTCTCTTTAGAATATTTTACTTCAGCTTTATCATAGTCATAATAAGCTAAGGTAAATATTAAACTGCAATGTTTTTTTTTTTTAAATAGTGTTTGATTTAAATTTAATGCAATTGGATATCCGAACAGCAAATATAGTTACACACAATAATTCTATAGTTTGAAATCAAAGGGCAACAGCTTAAAGTAAATTTAAAAAAATAATCCGAAAAGCACATTTAGTGCACACTAAAATAAGACTTAACAGGTTCACTAATCTAAAGAAAAATCTACTCTCTGCCTTAAACAAACCACAGTAATCTTTTGTTCCAAATTTTATTTTATAGCAGCCGTTGAACAGCCGACCCAATTTTTTGGTTTACGACTAATGTTCTACTCCGTAGCCTTCTAATTTTGAACCCAATTCAGAAGACAAGGGAACTCCTGGATAAAGTATTGGGAGAAATTTGCTTTTGTGGAGGACTTTTTGATGGAGCTGACCCGCATTTGCGTTACATGGAGAGGAAGACCATGAGAACCTCCCATGGTTAGCCTGACGGCAAGGGGACTCTAACCCATGATACGTCTATCACTGAGGATATTTCACATCAGCATTGTGGTCGGTGCAAGCCGGATGCGGAATTTGTTCTTAATTGTTATTTTTTTCAGCTAGGTTAGCATATGATAGTTTGGTTTTTGTTCCATTTATTACGTAACATAGCTGCAATAGTTTCTAGCGCCATTTAACTGTAAAAAAGATAGTTAAAGAAAAGATGATCGATTTGCTGCAAGCAACACGTGATGCAAAAGTGAACCATATCGTATTTCTTGAACTTCGTTGCACCGAACTTGAAAGCAATTTATGAATCTATTTTAAAACTTTACTGTAAATAAGGTTCAATTTACTACCATATTAAGGTTGTAGCAAATTTGCTCCGTATTATGGTATAAGATGCCGAGATTATGGTTCCATGTAGAACACTTTAGTAATTTTTTTTCACTGTAAGCACTTTTGCATGCCTGCCAACTTTTAATCCCTTCCATTATCATTTTTCCCAGTGGTATTAAAATGGAATTAAAACTTCAATTTTAAGCAAACAAATACGTTGTATTTGANTTTATTTAAATGCTTACCACAAAGGATGCTCTCTTTAGAATATTTCACTTTAGCTTTATCATAGTCATAATAAGCTAAGGTAAATATTAAACTGCGTTGTTTTTTTAAGATGGTGTTTAATTTAAATTTAATGAAAGTGAATATCCAAACAGCAAATATAGTTACACAATATAATTCTATAGTTTGAAGTCAAAGTGCAACAACTTAAAGTAAATTTTAAAAAAAAAATAATCCGAAAAGCACATTTAGCGCACACTAAAATAAGACTCACTAATCTAAAAATCTAATCTCTGCCTTAGACACACCACAGTAATCTTTTGTTCCTTATTTTATAACCATCGTTGAACAGCCGACCCAATTTTCGGGATTACGACTTATGTTCTACTCCGTAACCTTGTAATTTTGAACCAAATTCAGAAGACAAAGGAATTCCTAGATCAAGTATTAGGAGAAATTTTCCTTAGTCGAGGGCTTTTTTGATGGAATTAACACGCATTTGCGTTACATGGTGAGGAAAACTACTAAAATCTCCCACGGTTAGACTGATGCCAAGGGGACTCTTACACATGATCCGTCTACCACTGAGGATATTTCTACGTCAGAACTGAGGTTGGTGCGAGCCGGGAGCGGAATTAGTTTCGACCAGCCATCGCAGGGATTGGAACCCGGTTTGCCTCATTCAATGGCGAACGCTCTATCCCCTGACCCATCATGGCTCTTTGTTCTTAATTGTTTTTTTTTTGGGTTAGGTTAGGCATATAATAGTTTGGTTTTTGTTCCATATATTACGTAACATACCTGCACTGGTTTCTTGTGCCATTTAACTGCAAAAAGATAGTTTAATAAAAGATGATGGTCGATTTGCTGCAAGCAGCACGTAATGCAGAGATGAGCCATACCGTATTTCTTGAACTTGGTTGCACCTAACTTGAAAGCAATTTATGAATCCATTTTGAAACTTCACTGTAAAAAAAGATTCAATTTACTACCATATTAAGGTTGTATCAAATTTGCACCGTATTGTGGTATAAGATACAGAGATTATGGTTCCACGTAGAACACTTTTTTAAAAGTTTTTTAAATTTTTATTGTGGGCATTTTCGAAATTTAACACCAGATTAAAAATTAAAATTGTAGATTATGTTCTGGGATTTTTCCTTTTAGTTTGTTCATAAAGTTTCAACCATTGTGCAAAATAGCATTCATTTTTCATTATTTTTACAGTCTCATTTTGTTTCTTCTGGACTGGAGTTTTCTTCAAAGATGAAAGAGAACTTCAAATGCTGCGTGTTTATTGCACCAAGCAAGGGAACTGAAAACTTGGATACAGTTGTACAAATGATGACCCATTTTAGTGGGTACAAGATGCATAGAACTGTGGGCTGTTCTAAACAAATTTGCCACTTGTATGTGAAGTACGAAGCTGAATATATTGCCATTGCTGTTCGTGATATGTTTCGAAGTGTAAGTACTAAAGTAATAAATTTCATGTTTTAATTTAATCTTAAATCGAGGCTCTTTTAGTATCAACCATCCCAATCCGCCTTTTTAGATTTTTCAAATCTATGCGCATTTTTTACCTCGAGGGATTCAAATAGAAAACAGACTATTTTGTTTTATGAAATCTTAACCTTTTGCATCTATAGTATTGTCTAGTTTAAAGGGATTTCTGATTAGGCTTTTTCCTAAATTTTAATAAAACTGAAATTAAGGCTATTATGGCTATTATGCTATTTAGCATTACAGAATTTAAAAAAAAATGCAAAATGTAATTTAAATTTTAAATTTGGTTGAGGAAAGTTTCCTCGCCAAGAAAGTCATAGTATCAATTGCTGTTGATTGGACAACTCCAGTAATAAGCCTCAGATTGATTCTGCGAAAGTTCCAGTTTTGTTAAAACCTGATCTCCTGCCATTACAAGAGGTTTGTCCAGGTATTAGATTGGTTATATTCTGTATCTAATTAAAATTGTAAGGTAATGGACTTCACAATACGTCACACATTCAGTTTAAATTGCTTGTACCCTGTTAATTTTAAATTTGTTTCTCCAAGCACACAGTAAGGAATGATTTTAAATGACATTAATCTTATTCTCAAGAGTTAATGTCTTTACATTGTTTTAAGACTTCTGTATTGTTAGCAGCATTTTTAAGACGTAATGTTGCTAGCATGGCTGAGGTTGAAACTGCTTAAGATTTTCTAATTTTTAAAGTTAATCTATTTACACCAGTACAGTTTTAAAAAAATCTAACTTGTTAGCTATGTTAGTCTCAAATTAGCAACCACTTTTTGGAAAACCATAACTTTTCTTCTCCAGTTCCAGGCGCTCCGATTTTAGCGAATCTTCATTTTTCTTATTATATTGAAACTTCTTACTGAATCGTGCTGTGGTGAGTAAAAAAATTAGTGAAACCATGGTAATGAGTAGGGGCGAAGTGTAGAGATAGGGGAAAATTTCATAACTTTGAGACGTTTGTTTTATTTAAAAAAGAAAATAACTAGACTATTACTGATTTTCAAACTTATCTTGTTGTAAAACAGTTCATTGTGCGGGCCAGATCTAATAAGGATAATCGCCATAGCTTGTTACAGGTACGCTAGAGTTCGAGCTCTGGTATATTTCTTCACTTAGACTTTTTAAATTTATTTAATTTGTAGGTAATAAAGTTTACAGCAAAAGTACTGAATTCTGTGTACGGGTACTGTTTTACCTTAAATTTTCAAGAACATTTTGATGTATGATGGAGCGTTAATAAAATTTGATGGTAGATTTAAATTTTTCCCTTCCAGAAACACTATCATGCGGAGATTGTAGATGATATGTTACGCCTCTGGTTTGCCTTTGAAAAAGGTTCTGGTCAAGCAGAATGTCCGACAATCGCCTGGCTAACGAATGCAAATGGCAAGTACATAACTTCAGAATCTGCGAACATAGTGTTGAGCAAGTATGGAAATCCGGATATAAGGGATATCATAGACAAGACTGTTAAAGTTTCTTTCAACAGTCTAGCAGAGGCGTTTGGAGCCTGCATTGCTCTAGGACCGTGGTACTATAACAACATGTTGAAGGATCCAAACTATCATTCCATCAAGATCGAACTCACGTATCACACTTCCAAAGTTATGCGCATGTGCAATATGACTAATGTAGCAAGAGAGTTCGATTACTTTGTACAAAACGATCCTAACGTTTATTCCCAAAAGAATGTCTCTTCACATTTTGAAAAAGCCAAACCGGACCAGCCAATTAAAGTGAAGGAGATTGAACCAGGCAAGCCAGCTAAAGTTGTTTTAAATAGCAGTTATAAACGTCCAAACAGAATGGAACAAAAGAACAGAAATGGTGGCAGGATCTTTAAGAGAAATAATGGAAATACACAATTTACACATCACAAGAACATGTCACAAACTTCATTTTAAGCCTTTATTTTAATTCTATGAATTGAACAACTGATATGATCAAATCATGTCTATGGTATACATTTATTAATTTTTGTACTCTTGACCTTGTTATGACAAGTTTTATTTAATCTAAAACTAATTTTTTTTAAACTTCCAATATAGTTGAAGATGTAACTGTTAACAAGCTTTATAGATTTTATTGTTTTTAGTCTTAATAAAATTATTTACACAAATTCAATTTGTCTTTTCTGGAATTATAAAACAGATGTTACTAATTCGTGTTACTTAAATTAGAGTTGGACATATAAGAGGCCTTAGGAAATCAAAGTAAACTTGTTTAGTCCGAGAGTATGAAATTCCTAGTTTCAATGAAGGTACAAGCTATCTGTACTGTTGAAAAACAGTTTTATTGGTTAAAAAGCCTCTACCCTCGCCACCTTAGATTTTGGGTTAAAGTTTTAACGTGCATTTTCCGGTTAATATTTATTTTTAAATTGATTCTATAGTGTTAGACAGCACTGCCTTTCCAAAAAGGTAAAAATGGCTTCATTAATTTAGGAGAAATAGAGCTTGATAAGTTTTAAAACTTCCATGGGTTTTTCTTAACTTTAAAGCAATAAACTAATGAATTTTGTGGTTTTGAATAAATAATTTAAAACTAGATTAGCTTCTTAGTTTTTGCCCTTTTTTAAATTAAATTTTATAACAGCGTAATTTGATTTAATGACGTTTAAATATTCTTTTAATGTTAATTGCATAAACAATTTTTATCAAATCTAAAACATGCAACTGTGTACTATTTAGCTACCTATCAAAAATTGTTGATTGCAGAATTTTAAAGTTAAAAGAATTTATGTAGTATCTAAAGTACCGTATGCTTTATACTTCAAATTGCGATTAGATGGCGGCATTCTATTTTACTTGCCCCAAAAGATACTGTTTATTTGTAAAAAATAAAATAGCATTAAAAACATATTTAGAATTCTCCGTTCCCACCCTTTCGACAGGCTGAACCAGATTATAATAGTTTTTTTTTTTTTTTGTAATCTGAAAAAAAAAAATCTAACCTAAATGTTTGCGTTAGTCAAATATTTTATAAATTGTTAAAGAAATTTAATGTGTATTTTTGAGAGTTTAAAGCTACGATGTGAAATGTGAGAAAAGGTACAATCTTCAAGCAGCTCTTTCTTCTATTTTTCTAGTACTGTAAAAATTTTCGCTAGAACTTAAAATGGGTCTGAAATTTCGATATGGTTTTTAATCACTAATTAAATGGTATAAACTTCTTTCTTAATGTGTTTGAAAAAAGATATGAAGATAATATACAATATCGACCTGTCTGAATAGAATAAGTGTTACTAGTTTTTCTCAATTGTAACAAATTATAGTTGAAGTTTTCAAATGATAATTTTAAATTATGCTTTGTTTCGAGTTTCTGATTGTTTTACCACAAATATTGGTTAACTTCAAAACTTAATTTTAATACTTGTGATAGATGTTAATGTTCACAATACGATCACTGAAGTCGAAAGAGTACAATTTAGGTTGTACTGTGTAAAATAACTGAAAAAAAGTAATTAGCGTTGTCCTAGATTTTTGAAAAATTTGAAGTATCCTGTCTTCTAATAAGTTGCAAATAATTCTATAATGCGCTATGGAGGAATTTAAGCCTTATAAATGAGGACTATTTACTTATTTAAATGCTTTCGTTTAGTTTGAAAAGTTTCCCGGGACCTATAACATAGTTTTTAAAAACTTATTAATAGATACTAATTCCTGTTGAATAATTACTCTAATTAGTATCAATATTAAAAGAAACTAATAAAAAACGAGGACCGTATAAGGTGAACTCAATAACAACTTAGCTTATAAATTTTTATAAAATAACTTATCTTATAATTAAAAAATTATACGAAATGCAAATTCCGTTTACATACTAAATTTATCTCCACCTATGGACGGATGTTTCCGAAAATATCCGTAATTTCTAAAGAAACTTTTTCCAATGGTTATTTGTGCTGTACTAGACAATGCTGCCATCTATCAATAGAAATTAAAAATAGAAAGGAATAGTGCTTTAGGATTTATATTCCAAAGGATTCAACTCTGCTGAATATTTAACGCTTTAAAATTATTGAACAAAAAGCAATGGTAATTCTAAACAATGCTATAAAACACTTTTAAAAAATACTTTTTCGGGAAACTTATTTTTTTTTTTTTTTTTTTAACTTCATTTTTTTAACACTAGAAAGACCGAAAATTAATATATACCTATATTGCCAAAAGTAGTCAAACTGACTAGATTGTGAATGCGTATATAAATTTGTTTCAAAGTAATTTTTAACATTTTTATATTTACAGTTATATAACAAGTTATTAGTAAATATTAACAGTAAAAAAAATTATATGTTGTACGAAAAGTCACAAAATTCTAAGAAATTGCTTCAATATATACATCATTGTTTTTCTAATTGAAATTAAAAGTAGTCAAAATGACTTCCTTAGGCAATCTAATGTTAAATAAGATGTTATTTTATAGGTATTGTTTCAAAATGTATATTTATATGAAATATACAATAGATTTTTATATAAAATTTTATCAAGATTAAATTAGTTAACGTTAGCTTCATTACCATATTATCAGTTATCATACTTAAAAATTTTTTTTTTATTAACAGACAACTTTTCAATAATTTAAGGACTTTTTTTATGCACATTTAGTCCATTTAAAATAACTTTGAACACATTTAGTCCACTTAAAATAACTTTGAAGAATGTGCTTAATACTGTACTAAAACAATATTTATAAGTATCATCAGATTTTTATAAGAATCAGAATGCATCATAAATGTGAAAAAAATTCTATTCAAATTGACAATTCATTGCATTTCAATAAATAGTACATAAAATCTGTGTACGCTTACTCACACACAAAATAACAGGAAAGATAAATAAGTTTAAACTGTTTATTATTATAATTATTTTTCTTTTTGTGTTGGATTTTTTCTACAAAATACAAATTATTTATTATGAAACGATTAACTAAGTTAAAGGCAAACTATTTTAATAAATGAAGGCAAACTTCTCGAATAACTGAGATTTAGTTAAATTTTATCTATCAAACGAATTTAAGAGACTCTTCTAACATAATTAGAGCATAAGAATAGAATAAAATTTAATTTACATAATAAGTTTGATATCTATAAATTCAATGATTTATTTTGAAATTTTTGTGTTTTCACAAGACTACTTTGCCTTTTTACTTGGTTCCTCTTATAGGAGTTCTTTTCAATTATGTGTGTAATCACAATAGCATGCTTATAGCAAAGAATTTTATTATTGAATTTAAGTAATGAAGAAAGATAATCACTCTACTTTAGTTTTAAAATAATCCTGATAGATAGCAGCACAAGTCTTCCTTCACGCATCTCTTTCTCTTTTTTTTTTTATTTATCTGATTTTGACTCGTGATTTCTTTGCTTAAGTTAATATTATGAGTTTTGAGTTATGTCTATTGACTATTTGATATGTTTATACAGTCTTTGCAATATTTTAGTTGCAAATAATAAATTAATTATACTTTGTTTTTGATTAATTGGAAACGGAATATCGGTTCAAAAGAGAATTTTTTCCCTTTTAAAAATTGTGTTTAAATCTTGCGAGTCGTTTAATATTAACATGGATTTTCTAAGCACTTACGCCGAGTAAAATAACAGCCACAGTTTAAGAGCCTTACACTTAAAACAAAGCTATAATTTTAAACTATCTGGGCTTTGGATCGGATAAATAACTTAAATATTTTAAGTTATTAAATTTTTTAAAAAATCGTCAATTGTGATATTTTCCCCCCAGAAAAAAATTATCAAAATCACTGCCTTATTCTCACATTTTCAAATTTTTGAGCATAGATAATACGGCATTGGAGTAAGTCTTAAGTATTAAACAATTATAGATAACAAACGCTTTTCATTTTCACTAAACTGTGATTTTTCTCTCCATATTTTCGTTTTGCGTCATTTTCAGAATTAACTTGGAGGTGGCTAAAGATCGACTTAACTTCACCTAATAGTCGTTAGTTTCAAACTTACAGCAGTAATAACATAATGTTCGTAAAAAAGCATTTCGTGTGACAAAGATGCCTTCGAAAAACAACTCTAAATGCCATTAAAAAGGCCTTATAGTAGTGTCAACCATTGTCCTGTATTCATCATGTTGAATTAATATACTCTTTTTTGTTACTCACCCCTTTGACTAGTTATTTATCATTTGAGTAGTTTTCATTTATTTCAAGAAAACGAGATAAATTTACTAATAATAGTTTGACAAAACTTAAGTGTAATTATAACCCCGATAGAAAGAATTGAAGTCGAAAGACAAACATGCTAAAGAAAACATACTTTTAATTGGGAGGTGATCCCCACAATGCCATTCTCATTTTTAATAAATCTTGTTTAATAGTACAAAATGAAATTTGTGGAAAACCCCTTGTCGTTTTAGGCCTCCTTTTAAAAAGGACAAAAACTACTGAGAAAACTTCGCGAAACTTTTTAAATTTTGACGAAATTCAAACTTTTTTCATTAGTTGCCAAATACGATTCACTAATAAATTATAAAAGAGCCTTTTTTAAATTTTTTCAGTGCATACTCAGTATAAAAGAACTAGCTTAAATACACATAACTTGCACAGTTTTTTTTTAAAATTAAATTTTAAATCGACAATTTTGTAATTAATCTTAAAGTTCTCCAAAAATTTTGTTTAATTCCATTGAATATCTATAAAGTTATAACGAAAATAAACTAAGGTGAATAAACTAATTTTTTATGAAAATGTCCACATGTCAATAAATATTTATTCTAGGTTCACGAAACTTTATGCAGTCACTAAATAAAGTAATCGTTACAAGTTGCAAACTTATTGTTTAATTTTCTGGCATAGGGTTTTAAAAAATACTTGTTTTCTCTCGTAATCTATTGTAAAATTCCCAAAGTTTCTTTCTTTTTTACTTTTTTTTTAAATTGCAATTTGCTTGAAAGTTTTAATTGCTTTTTTCAACTTCTCTTTTATATTTACTTTGCATTTTTGTTTGTCTTAGTGTCTAAACGCTACGTCGAATCTCTTATAAACCCAAAAACGTCGCGCCAAAGTACTAAAATTCGAAAATAGAATTTTAGTTCCTGATCCTAAAAATCTTTTAAGAATTATAATTAGTTCGTTCGGGAGAGGTGTTTGAAA